TATTATATTTATCTAGCAAACTTCTTTAATAAATTATATTAATTCCTTTCGAAGCTTTGATTTTTCAATTGTGAATCATAATACCCTTTCCAAAATTTTTTATGTCCTAATTAATCGAAAATTTAGTAATTATAAAATATTATATAACAGAATAAGATTAACAACTAATACAAATAAACCTTTTTACATATTATATTCCTTGCGCGCGTTCGTCAACTTAAATATATCGATATGAGCAATCCGTTGTACAAATATTCTTATGTTATATATACATCGGAGTACTTTAAATTTGGTATTTCACGTGATCACTTATTCAATCGGAAGTACAGCCATTATCCCGGAACCTGATTTTTGGAAAGTGTCTGAACTTTCTATACGTGAAAATCACCTAGCATTTATTCGATTCATTTAAATATAATCGATTTCCGTAAAACGACGTGCATAGATAATAATACAAATAATTAGGCTGGTTAGGATAGCATGAATATAATAACAGATAAGTTGTATTACTGCAGATCGTATATTAAACGATAATTCTGCTCGTCTGTATTTTGGGATCATCTACCACCTCCTTTTCTTGACGTAAGTAATTATGATAGATTTTGAAATTGCCAACTATACATTTAAAATCTATGCTAAATAATATGCTAAAAAAAAAATAAAAAAATACGCATATAAAATTTAAAGTTTTTAGAAAGCTAGATAGAGGTGAAAAACGATGTCAGAAATATCGACTAATGTTGAAGGAAAGAACATTGATCCCGTAATAACCCATTGCATTTTTGACATGGATGGTTAATTTCTTTTCTCTTATAAATTTTTTTTTTTTAATAATAATAATAAATATTTTGATTTACGTAATCGGTTTCTTTTTTGCTAATGCAGGTTTGCTACTGGTACGTACGTACTGTACGTACATTTGTTTAGTAATGCACTTTTTAACATCTAATGCATTGTTAATTTTATAGAATACAGAAGAAATATATTATGAAGTAACATGTAATAATCAATATGTTATCTACTAATGCTTTGTTAATATTTTGATTTAAATAATGTTACGTATTTATTTTTTTTTAGCTGAAATTTTTGCAAGATTTGGAAAAACTTATACATTGGAACTCAAGTCACGTTCACTAGGTCTTCGCCAACACGAGGTACAAATTTATTATCATACAGTTTATATATATTTAAAATTAATTTCATTTTATTCAGTCTGCCGTTCTTTTGGTAAACGAAACTGGTATTAACATGACGGCAGATGAACTTCGTAAGGAACGACATGAAAAAAATGTATGATACATAGATTTTCTTAGTGTCATTGATTCTTAAATTTTTTAAAGATAACTTTTAATACTTATAAAGCTTGAAAGATTTCCTTTTGCTAAACCCATGCCTGGCGCTATGGTAATAAATTAATTACAAGATGATTTTGTATTTTCAAGTCATAACATCTAAATCAAAATTTTTTGTTTGTTAAAATAAGCGACTAGTGACTCATTTGAAAAAGCACCGAATTCCAATAGCGGTAAGCACAATTACACGAATGAAAGACTTTGCTTTACCTTACCAATTAAAAAAATAATTAATGATAGATACACACAACGGAATAGGTTGCAACGGGTTCGAGCCGAGAAAGTTTCAATGTTAAAGCCTCCAATAATAGAGAATTATTCGATATGTTTGATACTGTTATTTGTGGAGATGATGCGAATGTCAAGAATGGTAAACCAGCACCGGACATATTTCTTGCAGCTTGTGAAGGAATTGGTAACCCTCCTGCTAATCAATGTTTGGTATTCGAGGACGCAATTAATGGAATCAAAGCTGCAAAGAATGCAAACATGAAAGTAAGTTTTCTTATAATGATTTTAATCTCCGTTAAAAAAAAACTTTTTTTAATTAAAAAAATATCACTAAAATCATTTAATAGGTTATTTGGGTACCTGATCCTATGATTGCAGAATTATATCCGGGTAAAAATGGTGCTGATGAAATGATTTCTTCTTTGAACGATTTTGATCCAACAATATTTGGATTGCCACCCTTTGATGAGGAAACACGTTCTGCATAAAGATGTTTCTCGTAAATTATTTAAAATTAATAAAGATTGTATAATTAGAGCTCGCTCAAATTAATACTATGTATTGTTTAAATAATGCGTATTATTTGGGAAAAATTTCTTTTATTTATGAGATCAATGAAGTTAAAAATTTAATAATTCATAGACAATAAATTTAGAAAATAATAGGTCAAGTACTTATAAAGTCCTAAGGGTTATACGAACTGATATAACTTACCTAAAAATTTCTACATTGTAATTCTCAAATTGTACTTGTCAATTTATAATACGTACTAGAAGCTCGATTTTACTGTGTATATATAAGAAAGTTGCTATTTGCACTATGCCAAGATATGCTTTTAATACGAAAAGGAATACAAAAGAATCTTCTTCTTGTATTGAATCTTTAACGCTAAAGTTAGTAATATAAAAAACTTCGAACTTTTCACGTTCACACCACTATAGCGCGCACTATAATATAAATGAAATATTCTTAAAAAAAAGCGTCGAAAAAACTGATACACAAAATATCATTAAAATTTTAACCGATTTACGGAATTCGATTATACAGTAGACCCTTGTATAAATTGTAATTAGTAATATGGTATCCAGAAATACGCTTATGTTAATTAATTCAGGTAACCCGTGTAATCTAATAATACAGAGTAGTGATTTTGCTATTCTTATTCGATTAAATAGAACCTATCTTCTAAATTGTATCAGATGACTCCCATTCGATGTTGGTTTTAAGTTTAACTCAAATATACGTATATATTAATATTTTTGCTCATTCATTTGATCAATGGAAGTGATTTTCAGTGTACAGTACATACATAAATTCTTGTTGCTGAACTTGACTTATCTATATATATATATAGTATGTAAGTACGTACATACGTAATTACTACTTTTTTTTTTTATACAAATTTTATAATACAGTAATAGGTTTATTCTAAGTTCGAATTTTGTGCAACATCTAGAATTGGTATTGCCCTTGTTTTTTCTGACTATTTTATAACGTTACCCACGTTTAAATTTGTTACCCTCTTGTTTTTCAAATTTCGTGTAATGTTACTCAAAAATGCTTTCATAATCTGTTACACAAACTTTTTTTTTATCGATCGTATCAAATAACGATAATTTTGTAATTATAATAACGATATTTTTAAAGTATTATGCCAGTTAATCCAGCGAACCCACCACAACCTGCTCTTCGAGCAGCCGACAAAGAAACGTTTGCACATTTCACTGCAAAACACAGATGGCGAGATATTGTGAAAAAAGGTATTGACAATATTCGTGATTCACTTAATAATTCTGGAATTGATAAAAATGAAGAAGGAAAAAAAATTATGGCTTCTATGGAAGAATTAATAAATCAAATTCAAAGAAATGATCAATTAACGTATGTGTTCTTTCTAAATAATTTAATTGTTTTTTTCATTTAATCTATTTAATCTATTTGATCTATTCGATCTTATTTTGTTTTAATGGAGCTTGTTACTAACAATTATTATTAATTTATAAAGTCAAATCGAAGACGATGGAAGACCAGATATTTTAACCTGGACCGATGCCTTAAATACTTATTTTAAAGGTGAAAATTGGTTCACAGCATCTTGGTTATTCGCTGAATGTTATTTATATCGTCGAATTATTTCGATAATTACAAATACAAAACATTGGCGAAATTATGATCCTTATTTCCGTCAAAAAGAAGAATCTTTCAAATTATCTTTTTCTGGTATACTTGAATTTTCAAAACGTATCGATGAATTAATTTCTTCTTCAAAAGTAAAAATAGATGATAGTATAATTTTTTATGAACTTGCTCAAATATCACTTTGGGGAAATGCAACTGATTTATCTATGTTGCCAAATTTTGGTACTGATGAAAATATTGAGACAAAACGATTTGAAGAGTCGAAAAAAAATATTTTGGTGAATGATTTGGAAAAGGCATGGAAATGGTTATCGAAATATAGTAACGCTAGAGTTGATTTTATTTTAGATAATGCTGGTATATATAATATATATGTGTACTCTTTAATTATAATTTCTTTAATTTCTTTTCTGAACTTTCATTATATTTATTAATTTATTATTTTATTTAGGGTTTGAATTATATAGCGATTTAATTTTTTCGGATTGGTTAATTCAATCAGGGTACGTGTCTGAAGTTCATTTACACATAAAACCAATCCCATGGTTCGTCTCAGATACAACATTGGACGATTTCAATTGGTTATTTAAAACACTTAAAAGTAATGATCTCTTTTCATCCGCTTCTGAAACTGAAAAATCCTCACTTGAGAAACTCGTTGATCGTTGGCAATCGTACATCGCTAATTTAAAATGGATCATTACTTCCGATTTTTTTTGGACTTCTCCATATTCCTTTTGGCACTTGGAAGAAAAGGCCCCTGAATTGTATGCTGATTTATGTAAATCTCATCTTGTTATATTCAAGGGTGATTTAAATTATAGAAAGTTAGTATACGATTGTAAGTGGGAAACTGTTACACCTTTTAAAGAAGCTATCGGTCCATTAGCAAATTCGAAAAATGCACTACCAGTGTTATCTTTGAGGACCGGGAAATCTGATGTGTTCGTAGGACTTGATGAAGGAGTTGAAGAAAGGTTGGGTCCAGATAAAAGCTGGATGTATTCCGGAAAATATGCGGCTATTCAATTTAGTGAAGGGAGTAAATGATTTTTTTTTTTTTTTACGTGAGGGAAATCAATTTTTTTTATTTTTAATCGATTTAATTATCAGTAGCACTACTAAATTTTTTTCTAACCCATGTATTTTATTTATTTATTATTGAGAATTGAAATAAAACAAAGTATAATTTGAAAAGCTTAATGTTTCAAATAAATAAATATATATATATATTACTCGAAGGGCGCATTAAGGGGTGTTGGCAAATATAATATTATTTGTATACTTTACTTTCTTAAGTTAATGAAATTTAAATTATTATTAAAAACACGATCAACAAACCATAATATATTTCCATTAATAAGATTCTAATGCTGTTACTATAAAGACATTATTGGCCATTTTTTTAAAATTCATTATTGGTTTTTACGGAAGAAACTAAAGTCTGACGCCTTTTTTTTTTTAATCGTTTGACGTTTCGAAAAAATTTTGAACTTCTATTTCAATTATAAGTTTTTCTTCTTGAGATCCAGCTTTGTAATAAATATTACAAATCTCGGATGTTCTTGGAATAACGAAAAGATTATACATTTCATTATTTTCTCTCCTAGCATTTTTTTCCAATTTAATATCTTTCATCATATGACTGGGTTTAATTTCGATTCGATATGTACTAGGAATTTCAATAGATTTTTTTTTTCTTCCGCCTTTCTGATTGAAAAATGATAAAGCTAGGAATTCTTCATTGACTTTAAAAAGCGAAAATCCATTACCGTGTGTATGATTAAAAGTAAAAAGCAGGATGTCATGGTCATCACTCATATCATATATATATATATATGTATGTTAATAATTATTAATTTTAAATAAAGAAATCAATAAAACTTTAAAAGGAATAAAACGCAAAAAAATTATATTTCGTAACTAGAAATTAAATTTAAAAGTCCTAGAGGCGATGGCTCTATGTATGTGAAAGTCTTTATATAGAAAATATTTTTTCATTTGGACATAATAACCAACTTTCTCGCACATTCTAGATTGCTTAAAAAATACATTGTTAAAAAATCATTTAAAATTTATATAAGCAATTTTATAATAAAAATTGCGCCAAATTCTTTGTTCTTTTTTTTGATTGAGGTGCACACGCAGCATTACTGACAACATTGACAAAAAAACTCCGTTGGAATTTAAGAAAACAAAGTTGTTTTAAGAAAAAGTAAAATAATGTGGGCGAAACGGTTTTTTAATTCCGAATTAAAAATTTTCCGAATAAATATCCTTTTTTTAAAAGCTGATGTAATTTATATGCGACACGTGATTTTTAATTTACAAATTTGTTAGTAATCAATTTAAAAACTACCTATCTTTAGACGACCTCTTTTTTAGTGCTGACTAGTCGATCCCGTACGATACAGTTTTGAGTATTGGGTAAGATACAGTATGGCACTTTAACAGTTAAAATATGTATGTGTATTTTTTGCTTAGAGTAATATTTAATTTTAAATTATATTTAATAAAAAATTTTATATTTCAAAATTAATTAGTTTTATTAAACATATATAATTTTTTTTTATTTTTTTTTATTTTATTTTATTTTTTTTAATGTTAAAGGTTAAACATATATAATTTTATAGTTATATTATTAATATTATTATTTATATGAAATTAACTAATGTTCACCACAGGTCATGGTCAGACATTCGTTTGATTGGCTGATGTAAATCAATTACCCGGGTAACTTATTTATATGGTTTAAAGTACTT